GGGGGAAAGAGCAATACTGCAGCTCCTGTCGGATGAGATACCAGACTCAGCAGCTGACTTTGCCATCTAAATGAAATCATACCTTTGTCGTTGTTTTAGCCATTCTGGAAGAAGAGTGGGGAATCTAATTATGTTGCTGGCAAGATTAAAATGGGAAAGGAAACATTGTGTAGAATAGAAGGAAAGTGGGTAAGTATCTCTCTAAATAATACGTCTTTTGTCAATGTGTATGCTATATATCTTCCAATTAAATGGAAAATGGTCTGTTCTTTTGTTTCCCTGTAAGGATGGTGAGATTCTTATCACAGACCTTAAAACTCCAGTTCCTGCAGGGGTGAGTACAGAAACGCAATCTTATTTATGTATCAGTCAGAGAAATGTAAAATCTAAAGATGGGCTCTTCACACCCATGTCAAAATTATAGTTCTATAAAGTGGGTGGGGGGCAAGACTTATCAAGCGTATGAATAAAGGGGTAAGTTTCTAAAGAAACTGTGGTGCTGCGTCGGTGGGAGTAGGAGTATAGCAGGTAATTTAGTGTTAACAACTGGGTTGAAAACGTAATGAAACCAGCTTAACGGCATAACGGCTTATGTACTAGTGTTTACTACAAACCTACAGATTCACATAGTTACTTGTTGTATTCATCTTCACATCCATCACACGTCAAGAACTCCATACCTTTTTCACAGTTTCTCAGACTCCGTCGTTTATGTAGTGACGACTCTGATTTTTCCGAAAAATCAGAGGCAATGTGCTAGTTTTTCGATAAACGTGGCTATCCTGTTTCTGTCGTTCAAGCGGGCTACCACCGTGCCCAACAAATCGATCGACAGGCAGCACTAAAAACGGCCGAGAAGGAAAACACTGACCGCATTCCATTTACTCTTACATTTCACCCTCACAACCACGCAGTTCAATCTATCATTCTTAAAAATTTTAAATTACTCCAAAACGATTCAGAGACTGGCACTATCTTTTCGCAACCACCACTTATTTCATTCAAACGTGACAAAAACATAGTCAACTTTTTAGTCAGGAGTTCATTTCAAACCAATGATCTATCTGGAACTTTTAAATGCGCTCGCTCACGATGCAAAACTTGTCCTTTCATTCATAACGTAGAGAAAATATCGGGACCCAAAAGATCCATTAAGATCATTGATCACTTTACGTGTACCTCCGCCAATGTTATTTACTGTATAACTTGCACTTATTGCAATAAGTTATACATCGGCGAAAGAGGAAGACGACTGGGTGACCGATTCCGAGAACACCTTCGCGATGTGGAAAGAAATGACAAGGACGCATCCAAACCAGTCGCTAGACACTTTAATCTTCCTAATCATTCTAAACAGCACATGGCAGTTTGCGGCCTTTCCTTACATCAAGGCAGTTCGGAAAGCCGTAAAACACTAGAACAAAAATTTATTTTCCAAATCGGCACCCTTAATCCCCACGGAACCAACGAGCGCTTTTCATTCAACTAATTTATTCCTGTTTTCTCGTCACCATATTCCCACCAATGGCGTAGCTCCACTTTCTGCATATAAACCCACACACAACCCACAATTCCTCTAATCGCTCTGACGAAGGGCTAACGCTCGAAACGTCAGCTTTTTTACCCTTAACGGTGGCTAATTTACGTTTTCAACCCAGTTGTTAACACTAAATTACCTGTTATTAAGCGTATGGTTCTGTTGCACCTCTTCCTTCATCTCCCTAGTGTAGAGCATGTGTCTAGTGAGCATGGTCTGCAAATTACTGTCCTTTTAAAAGTGTTGTGACCACTTAAGAAGTTGTAAAGTGACTTCTATTTCTTTTCTTCAGGAAGTGGAACCTCTTCCTGAGCTGTTTTGGGACCCAACTCCTGAAATCCGAGAACAGAGACTTCCCAGACATTTGGTGGAGTACAACACCCAAGGAGAATTTGAATCTGAGAAGTATGTCATATCTTGCTTAGATATAGTATATAATTCTTACTTCAACATGTCTGTATGGTGACTCATGGGGTCACATTATGGTGGTGTTGTGTCTTTGGATGATGTATAACTGCTCTCTTAAAATTACTTTTCCACATACAGGCTCTGGATAAATGTCAGTGATGCTATCAAAGTTAATGATCAGGTAGGGAGATCTTGTTTCAGTAATTTTCAATTGGCAAGTGCTGAACTTGAGCAACATTGCAATGCTTTTGCTCCACCATACTTTGTAATTAGTTGTGCAATCTCTTACTGCCTTGTAAACCAGTCGAAAAAATAAAGGTTAACATTGTGTACAACCATTTTCTACAAAATTGTCAGGAAAAAGCAACAAACGAAAAGTTCACTCTTGAGGAGGCACAGCGGAAAGGTCACCGTGAAAGAAGAGAAAATGGAGTGGAATGGATTCCTAAACTGTTTGAACGTGATCCAACTGCTCCTAATGCTATCAACCGATGGCTTTACAAGTACAGAGAGTAAGCATCTGATTAACATTTCATTATCTTATATTGGATGCTGTCAGCCTTCTCTACAAACAAGAGAGTATAAGGCTTATATATTTTGTTGTTGTTGTAGTTTTGTGACTTTCATCTACATTTATTTTTTGTAGTGTAAGACCCTGGGATCCAATGACGGACCTGAAGGAGTATGAAAATGATGGAATCATCAAAACACAGTATCGCCTCAAAGCACCCATGGTACGAACAACAAGCTTACTCAGTGTCCAACCAGATAACAAGAAGCCAATTTCAAAACGAAAGCGGCCTTCATCTGGTCGATCACGATGTGGCGGCCAAGCAAAGGGATCACGACGTAGTTCCATTGACCACTCAGGTGCATCAACACCTGATCCTGAAGCTGAACATTCCAGCAGCATTGAGGATGATGATGATGATTCGAGTGTTAAGGAAGGCATTGACCTTGCAGCTCTTGAGAAAGCTTTCCAGCCACTCAAAGATCTACAGAAGGAGTGTGTTCAACAGATGAGGGCAATTAGAAGTGATTTGCGTCGCCATTACTCCTCTCATCAGGATGATCTTGCTACTCTTCAGTTCAAAGACTGGCTCTTACTTTTGATGTTCATTATAACTCAAGGATTTTTCCATTGGTATTATAGTAGATGATCCTGCCTAGCTACTTAAAATACACAAATTATTCTAATGAAATTTTAAAAAAGAATTTAAAAGGGATGGATTGTTTTTGTTGTGTGCTGTCCCATGAAGTTTGGATTTCACTGAAATTGGGAAAAGCTCAAAAATGAACAATAGTTATCTTAACACCTAAAGGTATATTTTCAAGTGAATTTGAGATGGAAAGCCTCCTTTTTTTTCACGGTCAGAAAATATTCTGATTAGAAAACCAACTTGTGTTTGCTCAACAACATAGTAAAGTCCCATTTCTGCTCACTTTGGTTGTAGAGTAAAATATTTTTGAAAGGACGGTAATTTAGCTCAAATTGGACAGATGTGCCATCTTGATAATCAGTGTTTAGAAGGGTGGGGGTGAGTTTTGTTGCATTTCACAAAAGCTACTCTGTAGATGTATTAAAAATGTTGAGAAATTGTTTGTTTGATTGTAAGCATAATCAAATAGATTGTACTTAATGATTAACTCACAATCATATGAAACAAATAACACAATCAGAAGATATAAATATATTTAAACTTATATTAAAAATTAATTAGCCTGAAACCAGCTTCACAAGGTTTTTAAAAAGTTTCTTTTAGTTAGGGACATGAAAGAGATTTCAGCTGATGCCCTTCAAAGAAAGAAAATTAAAAAAAAATGAATAGTGGTGAACATATTTTACCCTCATATTTATAAAACTCAGAACAAAGATATCAGATAGAGGTAATTATAGTTATTTATGATTGTTACTTGTTAGTTATAATAAATAAAAGATCAAATTTGAACTCATTTTAATTAAGTGGAGTTGGTGAACTTCACATTTTTATCACAGACCCGAGGCTCACCTGCATAGCACAGGATCTTAGAACAGTTTGGTTTGTAACATTTTATTTCAGTCTCTTTGTTATCAAACCTGGTCAATTTTGAGCAACCTAAGGTTTAAAAAAATTATTGTGCTAGTCAGCATGTTTTATTTGCTCTATATGGATCATAGGGAGTTGTGTTTTTAGCATGGGACTCCAAAAATTTTGGCACAATTTTACAGGAGTTTAAGAGAAAAGAACCTTAGGTAGGGTCAGGAATTCAATCAAAAGAATAAAGAACTTGACATAAGATTTTTGTGTGGAGATTTTAGTGAATGGTATTCTGCACAACTGAATATTAAACTGAAAGTTTTGATACTATTTGTGTGTAATTCAATTTTTTTTTTTTTTAATAAGATGATGTCACTGCACAACACCTGAAGCGATTGATAGGTAACTTCTCCCAACAAAATATATTAAAGTTCACAGGGCAACCAGGTGGACAATCGGACATAGTTTGATGCTACTCTGGTTTGCCAATTTAATGAATGTAACCGAAGAAGTTACAATTCATAGACCCAACGTTTCAACACTCCTGTCTAGTGCCTTCATCAGGGGTGATCTAAACGCTGCAACAATCCAGTAATCCATAGACAATCCAGTAAACAGGTAATGAGGATACTCAGCAAAGATGGTTGTCTTAGTCAACACAAATTCTCATACTTAATTTACCACAATATGTGTAGCAGCTGGAGGGGAAATCTTACGTGATATGCACCAATAAATTTGAAGCTTCAGTATCCCAACCCAAAAATTCAAACTAACCTGTCTTTTGAGTAATAATTATAAAACTTTGAAAAAGGATGAGTTACCATTTTAAATTCCTGTCAAAAGGCTGTACTTTTCCAAAAAAAGAAGAACTCCATGACTTTTCAGTGTCTCCTTGAGGACTTTTTTACCAATGTGTAGAATTTATGTCTTGTCAAATATTTGGCATTTCTGTCAAAATGATTATCAAATCTACAAAAACACAGCTTCTAAAAGAATCACTTGATCTAAGAAATTCTACCTATACTAATGTCACACTATTGTCATTCATAGTTGGTGTTCCAAAGAACACCAATTTTTAATTTTTACAGTCAAGACTTACACCTATATAGTATAGTCTTGGAAATGTGGACCTTATAAAACATAAATATTTCTTAATATTTGAACAATGCAAATATGTGAAGAGATAAGTAATAAACATGAGAACACAAATGATAAGTACCTGATAAATATCATAGCAATCTATACTGCGCCCAGTGCACAAAAATGTTACTGATGCACAATCACCTCACAAGCCAACATTTTAAATCTGTTCTGTGTGTAGATATATAATACATGTTGTAAAAAAAAGGAGAATGCACTGAAAAGAAAATGTTTATTAACTGCTTTCACCTTGACCTAAGTGTTCCATGCAATCCAATTTTTTCCTAGGATTTCTGTGGTGAAAGAATAGTTCTCAGTATTTTCTGAACCCCTTCCCTCCCAGTGTAATTACATTTTTTCTTAATTAAGAGGCTCACTCCCATGAAAACTACATGAAATGTCTGCCTTTCTAAGCAAGCCCATTTTACCTTTCATGAATTCTTGGTAAGATGTAAATGTAACAGAAAGTGTGCATTACTGATAGCTAAACCTCAAAAGTACTCATTCAAGTCACAACTAGAGCTAAATTGCCAAATACAAGGGAAACTTCAAAACCAAAGTAAAATTAGGAACGAAATGTTCAGATTATTTTCAATTGAAAAGGCTTTTCAAATTGACAGCAAATCAGGTACATTTCATGGAAAATGCCGGTGAAGATCAATCATAGTTAATGCCTAAGTGTCATAGCCATAAAACCACTATAAATTATGACCTAATGAGCATCCAACATGATTTAATTTCTTTTCGATAACATATTTCACGAAAATGACATGACCTCTTGAGAAGGTAATAAAATACAAAAAATGTATTGTGAATTTAACGCATTTGATATATTTAGCTGCTAACCTATTCAGGCATCGAATAGAGCTGGTCGCTGTGTAAGAAACACTTTGATAAACTGTAGCAGTAAACTCTTATCGACCTTCAATCTAAGCCATAAGTCCTAAGAACCACTTGAAATGCGGATTCGCATCACACTGTGTTAGCTGTGTACTCCACTGCGGCAGCCCTGTCATACCGTGGTTTTCGGAATCGTAAGACTGGAATGAGCCCGAGCACAATATAAACCACACCAGTGATAAAGAAAGCATAGCCGAGAGCAATTAAATGCGTTCGCCTAGAAAGTGCATAATGAAATATCAATGATAAAGTTGTACCCAAGAACAGCAACACTAGGCCAGCGAACATAACTTGCAACCCACGGCGCCACCAAAACGACGAAAATTCACGCCCAGTATTCACATCTGTGCCATCTATGAATAGGCGAAAACCTCCAAAGTAGTTCGTCCACGACAACGAATTGAAAACGAGAATGAATGAATGACCATCTTGTTCCCACTCGTACTGTCCGCCACCAAAGCAAAGAGGGCTACATGGATTGTAAGTCAATCCATGATGCTCCAGTTCATGTCCATTAACGTAGATACGGTACCCTTCACAAACGCAACCAATTTCACGAACCAGCTGTACTGTATACTGTCGATATTCAGGACCAACCTTGAGGTTCTGGGCCCATGTACAAGTGGTTTTACAACAAGGCATCTCTGGCGTTCTTCGACAACAACAATAGAGTATGTGCTTCAACCTTCGCTCAGAACTTTGCGATTAATTTCGGATTAAAAGGTCTTAAAAGACCCTCTGCTTAGTCACTGTGCTTTTATCTGTGGGTTTTCGCTTAACCAATGAAATTTTAAGTCGTAATTGCGAAAAATTATCCGCAACCCAAAAGTGTAATGGAGATCGATCACCCAGCTGACAAGAGAATTGAAGTGTGACACACGTATTTGTAAGATACTTTCTATGGCGTGACAAACTGTTTGACTTCTTCCTGTTATTGGCCAAAATAGAAGCTACATTATAAACATTTAACAGCAAAAAGTGCAAGCAACCCTCTATAAGCCCCGACTCGACTATAAATCAATATGAGATACTCATACCCGAACGTAGCTTCCAGAATTTAGTTGCTTGAATATTCTTCCCTACAACTTGTGTGAGTGCGTGATGCTTGATTCTTTTTAACAGATGCAAAGCGTTCCAAGACTTTTCTCTTTTTATTTTCATAACTGAATGATCGATTACGCGCTATATTCCATGTATAAATTTTGCATAATTCTATCAAAAAAGATCATCATTAAGTAAAAATCACAGAAAAACATACATTTTAAATAACATTTTGGTAAGGTTTCCGCACGGTCCCTTACTTCATTATGCATACAGTTTATAAATGAAGAAAACAATCTCCGATACCTTTCCATATTCCAATTTTTTTACTTCAGCTGTTGTTGATTTTGATCGATTTAATCGAACAACGATTCGCTGAACACCATAAACCTTTCGTTTTGATTGCTTTTCCAATAACGAGAACCATTCCAAAGAATACAAGGTGCCAAGTCTGAAAATGATATTTCGACAGGAACACTTTATGCGCGCGGGCAAAACAATGTACACCTGCAAAGATTAGTGTTATGGAAATGAAATGGTTACCTTGAATACAGCAGTGTGAAGCTTAATAATTTATTTGGTGCGGTTGAAGTGTGGCAAAAAGCAATATTCTGACGATATTATTTAGCGATGACCTCCTATAGGTTGGAAAAATAAGAATTAGTTTATTGTGTTTCTCTCTTGGGAGATGAAGCATTACAAAAGCAGGTGATAAAGCGGGGTAAGGATTTGCTGATAAAAGAAGTAATGAGGGCTAGGTTTCTAACAACAACAAGCGAATACTTCGTAAGAAAATTCTTAAGGGACATGTGCCCAGATGTTTTGAAGTGCTATTGAATTTGAAAAAGTATTTGCTTTCTTTTCGTTTCACGCGTACTTCACATCAGTATTGGTTATATAATGTTTCAATCATCTTGATTTAAAAACAACGTAAACGCTGTATTGACTGTCATTTACTTTGTTGCTATGCTCAGATCAAACGATTTTTAAGCCCAGATCGAACGATTTTAAACATTGACTTTAAGTTACGGTAGCAGTCACGAAACAATCGTCTTTATTTCCTCGATAAGTTTTGTGCAATTTCTTTTCATACTCCGTTCGTGATAAATCTCACTCCCAAATGACGCTGTATTGTTGTAAACAAAACTCAAAACGAAAACAACAGAGAACATATTTTAATACATATCAGAGTCAACATGATATTATGAATAATTTCACAATGCTTTAGAGTTTGATCGGATTCATAGTTTGTAGTACTGGATATTTTTAACTTCGTTTTGCCTGGATGAAAATGTGCTGAATTAGTAATATGTGGTTTGAAGTTTTCCTACACTGTGTAAACTGGCCCATAACGATTAGAATGTCTCACCACATGTGAGGTTAAACCCTCCACAATCTTTAACAAGCCAAATATTAATAAAACGCGGCCCAGTAGCTCCCACACAACAACATACGGAGAAGGCACAGTGTCCTCAAAGTATCGTAACGATTCCAATGAAACTCCAATCAACACCTCGATGAGGCCAAAATAAACAAGAATCCACCCTCGTCTTCTCCATAGATCTGATGGAGTGAGATTCAAGTCTATCTGAAAACCGTCGATCAGCAAATGATACTCTGTCATCGACCATGTTCCAGGTACAATCATCAACAGAAAAGAACGGCCATCAAACTCCCAAGCGAATTGTTCGCTCCTATTGCACACAGCTAAGCCATTGAGACGCTTAAATGTTGCACGAGTAATCTGTAGTCCATTTGTAAATATACGAAATTCTTCGCCACAAAAACGCTTTACACGAACTAGTTCGACAGAATAGTGTTTACTTCCCGAGCTGAAGTTGAAAGTCTTTTCCCAGCGTTTTGAAGTTTTCCTCAAACAAGCCTTCATTACTCGTAGCTGGTTGATGACCCAATTTGCGCCTTAGGTCGCGGGAATTGAAACAAAATTACTATTAATATTCATAACGTCATTGACACACGAAAACTACCAATCACATTAAACATACCCCAGTTAGCCGCAGTATGCTATGTTTTTGTTTGTAGGCAGCCAACAGTTATGAGTTTCACTACGAAAAATTTTTGTGGCTCAATCTTACTTTCAATCATCAGTCTGTGTTCAAACTCACCAGTACAGGTTTATTTTGGTTTGTGCCTGTTTTGCGAGGTCACGCGAACAAAACAGCTGACGAGTATGACACAGTTAGATCAGAGGACTTTATCACCAAAGGGTGAAAGAATTTCGACGAAATTCATCGATGGCGGTTTTCATAAGGATTTAAGAGTCGCTAATTATTTTAACTCCTTTGTTTTCTTAGCCTGTCAGCGTTCTGTTCACACAAAGGTGCCTTTAGTCAAACCTCGTCCCTGGGGACTTTTGATTTTGAAATTCCTTAAGAACTGTATTTTCGATTAAGAAAAAAAAAATCCGAGAAGAGAGTGAAAAATGTCTATAACAATTAAAAGAACAATTGGAGAAAAAAAAAGAATGCGTTAAAGAGAATTATATAATTCTGACCGCTAGTTCATTACAACAATAGCTGTTTACACTCAAAGTCAACCGACTTAAAGTAGCTTAAACTGCATAGTTAGGTAAACAGGCACCGATGTTGATCACAAACTCGGTTGAAGTTTCCCGGAAATTCCAGAGAAGAGGAAGAGGGTTGATGATAATCAAATTATGATCAAACCATTGTTATTCATGGGAAATTGACGAAAGTACCTTGTTAAGATAAGTCACTCAATTTTTCTCGCTTCATATTCTTCATAGCTTGTAAATTCAATACATTTGCTTTGCCAGTCACAGCTATTTAGTAAGTTTTTATTTCGTCTTCGTCTGCTTTTTTTAGCTATCAGCAAAAAAAGATGAAATAAATATGGTTCTTATGATCGGAGCGAAGCTTGAACGCCCGGATAACTTGTTGCTTCAAAAGACGGGGTTGGAGCGCTTGGAGCAAGTGTTCTTCCCCTCCCTCTCCCCCACATCAAGTTGAGATACGCCGTTACTGAGGGCTACAAGTGTTCCCATGATTCTTCACACCACCACTCTACCTAGTTATTGGATTTCTTCTTTCGCGATGCTTTGGGTCAGCTTTACTGATGAAAAAAATAAGCATTTCAACTCTGACAGGGCAGGAGAATGCTCTCCTCTAAACAAACACCTAGGGTCACAAGCTCTTCTTCAAGATAAGTGTGCAAATATGTCATTAAAAGGCATCATAACAAAATCATTAACTCGGAGAATTTGATATCTTCTTCCGCGTTTGAGTTAAGAATGAAAATCACTTTTGAGTTCGGTTTCGCATGGAATTGTTATGAGGCATTTAAATGGTTAATTACGATTTTATTCATTTGCTTATATTTAGCATTTAGTTACTATTTGAATCGGCCAGGTCCGAAGTTATCGCGATGAGTCTCCAAGTTATGACTGTGTTGTTCAAATTCCATAAGAGGACGTCTTCTGACCTTGCCTTGGGCCCACACTAAAGCTTTTGTTTAGGCTTACACAGTCAAAGATTCATTCGATTGATCGGAAGCATTAGGCAGATTGTTGTTCAAAAAATGTCTGGGTTTGTGTCCTGACAACAGATGTTTAATCTTCCAAGGTCAGTTGGGCAGCATGCCCACACATGCCTTCTGCTAATGAATATAAAAGCGTTTTCTGTAGAATTAGTATAAGTCAGGGATAATCAGAGAGAGAGAGGTAGAGAGATTGATCAGAGTTAGAGACAGTCGATCAGTGTCTCCCAAAGTGAAGTAAATTTGATTTAAATGAGATTGTGTTAGAGAGCAGAGATAAAAGAAGTCGACTGAAAAAGACAGGTGGCATTAGAGATGTAAATAAAAGATCTGTGGTCTTGATATACTTCCAATTGATTCTCGACAAAGCAGCCTTGTAAACCGAGTGAAATCGATCAAAACACAAAACGAGCGAATAAAAATACATTTTGAAATGTAATTGTTTTCTGTACACAAGATTTCCGACCGATGTAACCCGCTGGGAACCGCAGTAAATAAATTTACGTGTAAATAGTCAGCAGAATTTCTTTGCTCTTCAAGAGATCAAATCCTAATATCCAGAATCAAGGCACTGAGGTCTAGCGAGTCGTTTAGATCGAGTTAATTCCCAGAAAAAAGTGACTCGAAGTGACGGAGTCACGCAAGGTTATTTAGTCTGTCATACACATGCGCTGCTTCAAAATGAATGAAAAAAACACTTAAATTTACCTTTTTTTCTTTTCTTCTGTTATCGTTATTTTTTAAAGCTCCTTACTTCGCGGAAGTCTTGCTTCCAAACACTTTTACCACATGTAAGGAAAATGGAAAATACAAGTAGAGAACCAATGTTAATACCTATATCAGTATATCAGTTTATTAACCCTTTGAATTATTTCCGTATTATTATTATAAGCATGTGCCTATCTGCTTCATACATGGACGGCTCCCTTCTTTCGCTTGCTTTTCACTTGACGGCGTCCTGAGGATGCATTTCCTGCGCGCGTTCAATTTTTTTATACTGCCTCGGGTTCAGTCCTCTAAAACAGACTGCCTGGAACTTTAATCACCCTGTCAGTGTCCAGAAATTTTTTCATATTGTTTTTAATTTTAACCAATCGAAGAGAGCGAGCTTAAGTTAAAACCTGCTTTAAGCCAATCATGCGAAGCGATATGATTGACAAAGCTTACGTCATTTAGTGTAGTAAATTTATCCTCAGAACAAAGTTCTCGTTGCTACTTTTGTTGTTGTTGTTTTTCCCTTTTTCTTTTTTGTTATATTGTTGTTGTTTTTTTTTTTCAAGGAAACAATGAAACGAGACCTGGAAGTTTTACGTTGGCAAAAGTCTCCTATGATGTAATTTAGTTTTATCAACGGAGTTGATAATGTAAATTGGCCACCGTAGAAAGTTTCTTATGCCGACGTTTTGAGCGTTAGCCCTTTGTCAGAGCGAAATGATGGACGTTTTTTAGCTGCAAGAGGTAATTTTGTATCACTGTTCGGTAGGGCCTTCAAAAAGTCCGGCCTTTCCCAGTCAATTTGTCTGAGTACGAAGCTTGTTCAACCTCTGATTCACTAACACCACTGCTTCCATCCCCTATCATAGGGAGAGGGGATGAATTCAACAAAGACATTTTCAAGTTAACGCTAAGCCGGTTATTTTCCGAAAAACAGGAGCCAGGGGACCGTTGAAATCAATTCATCGTCAGGCTTGCTTGTGCTTTTCCAGCCATTAGAATTGAAGGCCGGCCTTAACATTCGTCCCCTGCCTGTGCACCATTCTCGTGAACCAGGCGTGCATGAGTGCACTAGTTCTATTACCACGCAAAATCTTAACACTTTCGACATCACTATCCATCATTATAATATGAGAAAGTTTGCCAAAGATTGCAATTGAGCCCTCGCACAGTCAGTTAGAGGGGATCAGTTCTTCACAGCACAAAACAACTTCACACGTTTTGCAGGCTGAGACTCTCGCAAAGGTTCTAAAAACAAAAACAAGTTTTATTTACCAGTGACGGTGACCTTTCCCAAATTTTGAGAAGTTCTTTTTCTGCGCATACCAGCTCAAAAGGCAGATATGAATTAAACATTTCCTCCACCTATGTGGATACCTAGTCTGCATATGGATATCGCGTCTGATAACCCAATTATATCGCAGTAGGAATATATATGCAGAGGCAGACTCAAACAAGGGAAGCAGGGGGTCAAGAAAACTTTTCTTGAGTATGTTAAGAGCTTGGCAATGGAAAGGAGTTGTAATCGCGGACACTGCTTGTTGAGAAAAACTTCAATTTTTCTTTCTCTTGCGAGCAATTTTTGTAAAGAGCGTTGTCTTCGCAAAGTTGGTGACAAGTTTTAAATGTAATTTGACACCTCCCGTTGCTTTCGTTTTAAAAACTGTGGCTTGAAGGAAAACCTGATGATGTTGATAGAGAGGAGGGAAGATTTACTATACAGGTTTGGCCGTAATTCCAAGTTAAGAAATAATCAGATGGAAAGAGATAAAAATGAATAAAAAAAAAAATCCAGACAGGGAGGATACGATCTTTCCTGATCCGTTCTGAACCACTAAATGAAGAGATGCTTTTTGACATTTTGTAAGGGGTACTTGATGCTGAAATTCAATATGTAGGTGCCAAATTTAGGAGAAAACGGCTGGATTGAAAAAGAGCTTGCAAGGGCTGACGATCAAAACAATACATCCCCAAATTTCTGTGTTGTTGCAGTTGTGTTTGAACAATAAGCGGACGTTCAAAGATTGCATTAGAAAATAAACAAAAGATATTAACTCTTTTCCTGGTGGGGGTGTGTATATATGTGCGTGAGGAACGGTGGTGTGGGGTGTCCTGCCGTAATAGGCGGAAACAAGTTCTGTATTTTTTGTTTACCAAGTAAGGTTTTGACCCTCCAGTCATCCACTCGATTGGACTTGACAATAACTTGTCGGAAGTGTCGGTGGAATGCATGATCAATTAGATTTGCATTGTGTTAGTGTCTGTCTTTGCTTGTTTCGCGTGTATTTTCGAGTTCGTGCCCCGTCTAGACCTATGCCAAATTGTCCTTAGTCGTATCTTTTTTAACTCTCAAAAACTGTTGTTCGGTGCTCAGGGAAAGTACCTGGTAAGTTTTATTTAGTCAAGATACAAACTCAAATCGAAACGAGCGAATCTGAGCTAACAACAAAGGAATTAAACTTGTTTTGAAATATTCATAAATGCGAAATGCTACTCCGGTGACGTCACAGGGTGATTTCTTGTCAATGGAAGCGCGGAAGCCATATTCATTATCCCGCCATTTTGAGTAGGGCACGGACGATTTGGTGATAGTTGGTGGGCCATTTGCGCGACAATTAAGGCGATTCCTTTGGTATCAAAATGAGCGAAGGAAGTGCTACTGGTAACGCCGATGATCAAGAAGAAGAGTCCGTCTTTATGCTGTGTGGGCTTTGTAAAAAGCCGCCGGTGGACACAAGCCCGAAGCTTTTGCCTTGCCTTCACTCTTTTTGTTTAAATTGCTTGGAGGAACGTTTTGCCGAACAACAACGAGAAAAAGCCCCTTCGACCTCAGCCAGTACATCTTCGAATTCGATCCCAAGGCTGAAATGTCCAAATTGTGGTCAAGAGTTTTTGGTTCCCCCGAAAGGAGTACTAGGCTTCCTGGATAACCAGTTTGTCTTAGAGAACATGGGAAAACTGCAAAGAAATCAAGAAAACATAAACCGTTTCTGCACCTCATGCGAAGACAACAGTCCGGCTTCGTCTTTTTGTTTGAACTGTAGCGATTGGCTCTGTGATGCTTGTGTTTCTGCTCATCAGCGAGTGAGAGTAACGAAGGATCATAAAATTCAATCAGAGGCCGAGTATTTGGAAAACTCTGAGTCCTCGGACGTGAAACCGATTTTTTGTAGCACTCACCCTCAAGAAGCCCTTAAACTCTTCTGTGCCAACTGCGAAAAATTGACTTGCAGGGATTGTCAACTTCTTGAACATAAAGATCATAAATACCAGTTTATAAAAGAGGCAGCAGTGAACTACAGGGATAACCTTAGGGGACAATTAAATAGACTGTACGAACAAGCACAGCCTTTGACTGACTCAATTCGCGAAGTTGAAAAAGCAGCGAAAGGTTTACAAGAACGTGAGGAAACCATTGTATCTGAAATAAAAAAGTCGTCGGAGATGCTTGTGAAAGCTGTCAGACAAAGAGAGAACGTTCTGTTGCAAGAATTAAAAGCACTTGTACTTTTTAAACACAAACTTTTGTCCAAGCAGAATAAAGACCTCCGCCTAATGCAGAAGATCCTTCAACACAATTATGGCTTCACCAGACATGTATTAAAGAATGGTAGCGACATGGGATTGTTGTATAGCAAAAGACAGCTAAGTTCAAGAATCCAAAATCTGTTAAGCTTGAAGTACAATGTTCTTCCAGTAGCTCATAGTGATTTGAAGTTCTCTGTTGAAACAGAAAAGCTCTGTGCTGTGATTGGTAAACTTGGAAGTGTTATGACTCCAGCTGACAGAACTAATACCAATTCATTTCGTGGATTGTCCAATGCTAGTAGTTTCACTGGTCTGCCAAACAGCACTGTATCAACAGCTATGTCAAATCGTCCAGTCAGTTCAAATAGTTCTTCAAGACCCAATCCTATTGAAGCTCTTTCAGCTGTCAATAAGCGTTTAGGACCTCCTGGAAGCCAGACCTATTCTACGAAGTACCCCTCCCTTCAGGCTGCCATAGTTCATCCATCTGGTGCAGGCATCAATATGAATACCAAAGTTGGTGTGGTGTCAGCAAATGGCGTATCTCGCTTGTCATTACCATCTGCAACACGGAGCCTTACAGTAAAACCAGGAACTGGAATTTCTACAAATAGCTTTTCTTTTGCACAGAGGAGCCCAAATATCAGTAACTTGTCGAATATCTCACGCTTGTCACCCCCACGCTCTGTTCGAAATGGTAACACCCTCCCTCTACGGCACTTCCAGGATATTGGTAGTAAAATTGCAATCAAGTCTCCTCCACCCAGACCACCCAGCACTGGAAGCAACCATAGTCACCAGAGTACATCACCGCTTAGTGATTCATCAGGTTCTTCATTTAAACAAAATGGTTGGGATGAGCAACCAGTAGCCAGTGAGAAATCAACTCAAGTCTTGAAAGGTAATTTAGCATGTGAATGTAGTTTTTTTTAAAGAGATGAACAGTATCACCCCTTCAACTGCTCAGAAAATCACTCTGGATTTTTCAGTATTTCATGAAAAAGCTAGTTTCTCACGATTCTTTGTTTCATGTCAAATGTTATGGTTCTTGGAATCAAATGCCATACATTTTGAATTGGTTTATATCTTATTTTTTATTATCTTTTAAAATAAAATCTTGCTGCATGTTCAAGCCTGTCCTCCAAGGTCAGTGTGTAAGGTTAAGACCTGAAGGAGTCATCCCAGTTATTTTAATGGACTCATTTTTTATTGTGATGTGCCTGTTCCTGTTAGTACATTCTAGAATTTAATCACATCAATTCTCATGTACATAAGTTTGTGTTATCTTCTGAAATCATTTGGAATGGATCATCAGTTCTTTAGATTTAAAGTTACTGTTGAATGGGTGAATTAAATTAAATGTAAATGCTGCTATTTTTTGGTGGGACATTTTTTATTTTGTTTAAACAGATGTCCTTAAAATCTCATTTTGAGAGGATATGTGTATCTTTATTTGTGTTGGATTTCCAGAAGTCATAGCATTGTTACTTATTTGGAAGATTTGTGTTCCAGATTTGTATCATTGTTATGACTTATGGAGCAAATCCTGACAGATTACAGTTTATTACAATTTCTTGAATTTAAAGGAGTCTCTACCCTTTTCCTGTGGCTTATGCAATAGCAATCATTACTAAGATTTCTAATTGTTTCCTTATATGAACTGAATATTAGCAATAGTTGTCTAGAACTATATAACCAGACAATCTTTAAGATAACTGGACTCTACAGCATTTTTATTTTTTTGATAATAAAATTTTTACTTGTTACACAGAGTGAAAACCTCATAATCCATGCAATTGTATTATTTTTATTAAAACGCCATCTCAACACAAAGAGATGCTGTTTTTTTTTCTCTCATGATTCTGATTCATGTTTGGCAAAATTGTACCAGAACCTTAATTTCACCTTTATTTAAAAAGTAATGATCATTTTAACCATAACTTGATTTGAATTTCCAGCACAATAAAATTATATCTAGCACAGTTATATAAAGAAAATGAGATCAAGAGAAAAAGTTAGTAGTGTGTGGTGTATGAGAAAAAAGTATATATTTCCTGTAAAACTGAAATATACCTCAATAGGCACTAAGTCATATGCTACATTTGAAATGATCTGGGTGCACTCATTGAATGATTAAACCTATAAATTAGATGATATCTTGTTCCAGTTTTCTCTCATATTTACTTGAATAGAACCTTATATTGTAGTGGTTAACAACTGAAATAAGAAATCTTAGCCAGTTTGAGCCAAGTTATTTTTAAATCTTATGGTGTAATAATTTGCTTGGTTAAAATTAGCAAAATATAAGATTGGAATCAAGTGAAAATGAGAACCACATCAATTTTTCACCTGAGATTCCTTCAAGTTTTTTAAATGGTTTATTTGTTTGAAGTCTTTTTTACCATGTAAAGGGGAACTGGAGATAGAAGCCTTGTTAATGGGCAAAACTTTATAACTTTAGAACCTGAAAGTGAAATTCAAAGGCATTGTTTCAGTTTCTTTAAATAAAACAATGAATTGGCTCTTGAAGCCAAATAAAGCAGCTTAGCATTTCACTATTACAGCTATATAGCCTTTTCTTGATCATGAAAGGTAAATATTTATATAATGACCACTGAAAAATTTTGACATGGCCATTAATTTAAATCTGCAGCAAATTTGGTTTTATTGTTAAATATTTACAAACTGTTTGTACGTGATGCTTTTGACATTGGTGATCCAAGCAGTTTGACAGAGGCTGTTAACAAATCTACATGGAGGAATATGGCTTACATGACAATTCACCCACAATTTTCATGTAGTCCAGTGTTAAAGCATTAGACTGTAAAACCCTAAGGTTTGAGTCTCAATTTCTTGTGGCAGAATCATATGTTTTTGTTTTTGTTTTTGTTTTTGTTTTTGTTTTTTTACCTCATTACAAAACAAGAATATATTTACAAAATTCCTCTGTTTATTGTGTTTATAATATTTGTCATGTATGACAGAATAACTTGAAGAATCAATATAAGGCACAAGCATTGCATGATATCAATGATTTAGATATACCAAGCATAAGATCACATTGTTGTAACAAATTTATAACTTGGACTTATATATATTTACAGTGTTGCAGTGATTTTTACCATCAATCATATTCATGATGTAAGTAATTACAATTGTATTCTCAGTTTTTGCAACTGCACAGTTAAACTTAAGTAGGATAGCTATATTTGAGACATTGGTTTTAGATCTGATTCAATTGACATTAGTTTTATGGAGATCTTTGAATTATTAAGGCTTGTTTTTGTCAAGTTAGAAATGGAAGGGAGCAGTAAGATGAAAAATGTAGAAAATTGACACTGATTACAAATTTGAAAAGTGAATATGATGGCTTAAAAGGGAAGCAGCTACATCAGATCATAATCAACAAGTTAACAAGACATGTAAATTATAAAAACAGGCAGAGTGACGTGAAGTAACAGCAGTTATAGATCCATCTAGCATAGAATACTTCAAAATATGGTCAAATTCTAAAGCTCCAGGATTTAGTTTTACTTGTAAAAGCCAAGAACTAATGGTTTGAAAACACTTGAAAGATAGTATTAACGATTGGTAATCAGCACATTACACATAATTTAAGTGCTAACGAGAAAGTAATTTTGATATGAAGTGTCATTAGGAAATATGTTAACTGTAGGCTTTCTACGAAAATTCTTGCTTTCACTTTGAATGGATTACAAGGAAGTGTGAGAGCCAAATTATTTATGTGTAATGAAAACAACATTTTGTAACATAGATTGAGTTTCTGGTCGAAAAGAAGTATTTTTTTTGCATGCATTTATGTTATTTTGAATAATTTCAATAAGATGGTTTCTTTATTTTATTAAGGAAAGCACAAAATAATTAATTTTTTTAGTAATTGTGAATAAAGGAGGTGGTGTGCTTCAAGGTAAGCCAACCTAAAAACATTTATACTATATTGCTAAAAAAATTGTTGCAGAGTGTCTTTTTTCTCTTTTTTGTCTGGGGCAAGATACTCAACTCTTGTAGTCTCCCAATATGCCTCTACTCATGTAGACAGTTTAAGACATATTGGTGAGTTGTTTTGGTAACTGACCTTGTGCTGTAAGTAGCCTGGGATGGAAAAATATTGCATCCATGAAGAGAAGGAATATCCCTATTTAATTTAGGATGGTTTTTAAAATAACTTATATTTTTCAGGTCCAACCTCTCCAACTGGAATTGGGGATTCAAAGGTGCCAAGATTACTTCCTGTGTTAAAGAGAAGTCATAGTTCTCAAGAATTGTTAGATGCTGGAGTTCCTCTCCAAGTTCCCAAACTACTCCCAGTGAGAAAGAGGAGTAATAGTACCCAGGGAATCCCTGATCCAGCTGCATCCCCTGTGACAACCTCCCCACCACCAGTCAAGGTCAAGCAGGAAAAGCCAGAATCTCCCACAGAATTCTCCCCTTGTCACGAATCAATGAAGAAGGTAGGGAAGGAAGAAGTCTGCATGTCATAAGAAACTTCCATGGTCAAATTGATGGTACACAGTTCATATCTGTTTATATTCTTATCAACTTTCTTATTGATATGACATGTAGATGGCATTAATGTTTTGAATTTTCAATCTACAGCAGCAACAAGATGACACCACTAGTGGAGAGAGTGGAATTGATGAGACCAGCTCAAACGATGATTGGTGTGCAGTGTGTCGCAATGGTGGAGAACTTCTTTGCTGTGATACATGCCCTAAAGTGTACCACTTACAATGTCATGTGCCTTGCCTTTCTGCTACTCCAAGGTTTGTTCCTAAGGATGTCAATATTTGCTTTGTTTGTTACAAGCTCTTAGTGTGCATAAATTATCTTGAGAAGATCCGCTACCATGCTTAGTTAGAAGTTGCGCTCTTACATTCTACATCAGTGCAGACTGTGTCAGTTTTTTCTGCTTGTTCAGTCCTTTTTCTGGATAACCTACTATACCTGATATGTACTGTAACCTCAACACAGCTTAGTAGACCCCTCAAAAGGTGTTCACATCTACAGCCCGAAGCAAAACCCTAAACTGTTACATTGAACTCAGGGAGACTGCACTGAGGTGAAGACTTCTCCAGGGAACCTCTAAATGACATATTTAAGTGGAAATATTTGTTGTCTTCAACAGTGATTCTTGGAGTTGTGGTTTATGTCAACTGGTTGATTGGAATTCATTAAAACAGAAAGGTATGAAAAATGTCACAAAGTTAATGAAAAAAATTAAAAAAAAAAAATGTTTGTGTTATGTATTTTCAAGCTTACCTGTGGTAGTTGGAGACACTACAAATGCATGAACAAATACACCCTGTATAATAAAAGGCATTTAAATTGCTCAATATTGACGTACACTTTGCAATCCTGAAGGTGGAAAATCAAACACTACTTAATGTGAAATTTAACTTGTTTTATCTTTTGCCAAAAAGATAAAGAAGTTGTTCAGCCGGGCAATAAAAGACGATCATCTCGCAGTGGTCTGACTGAGTATGAGAGAAAGGTAACTTTTTCTTTTGGTTGCAAGTTCTCAATACTACATGTTAGGTAATAGAGGACTGTTTTTGTATCTACACAGCCTCTTTCAAACACATTGAAATGTAGAATAAACAAGGGTTTATAAGGTACTGTAATGCTGAAGAATGAATGGAAAATGTGGAGTTAAAGTACCACTCACAAAATTTATTTCACAGTCACGGTTAGCAAAACTGTTTTTTTTTTTCCATGGCATTTATTATGTTATTCAGTTGTGTATGCCCAAAGGTAACAAGGTTGGCCCACTGAATAAATTTGAATGTCAAAGTGCTAACTTCTTAGATCTGAAAGATTATTTTCTTTACAGATTTCAGTACATATCTTTGTTAGGTGGTCATGAAGATTTATTGTTTATTCTAAAGTGTTCCTCAACTGATAATTATATTACTAGGGCTGGGGAAAGGGGAAGGGAGAGGGGCTGTCAAACTTCAGAAATCTGCAAGCCATGTTAAACTTGAGGTTTGCTCAGTCCTTTTTTTTTTTTTTTGGTCAGTCAGTGTAAGAGTTTACCAGTAAACTAGATTTTTTGTCATTCAGGCTTGTGAAAAGATTCTTCTAGAGCTGTATTGTCATGCAGAAAGTATTCCATTTCAACAACGAGTCAGTAAATCGGTTAGTGCAATTATTTTACCTACACATAAATTATTTATAACTCAAAGTAATTGATAAATAACCTGTTTTCTAGTCGCCTTGTCAAAATATTTACCTTGCCTCAGAAACTGATGGATGTAAGTGACAGATTTATACATTGGTGAAGCAGACCCAAGACTAGTGATCATTTCACTTATGTGCATTTTACTTTTGAAGGTTAATGAAGTAAGCATTGATGTGAGCTCAGATTCACTTACTGGTACTTGGTCCTTCCTTCTCTCACTTGTTTTCTGAAAACAATAGGCTCAGCTCCCTTAGTAGTTTGGTCAAGGCCACTGACCATGACATTAAGTTCAGGGACTAAAGATTTTCCTTAATCTCCCTAAATGATATGTAAATGCACATGGCTGTACAGTTCGTCATTGTTTAAGGAGAATTTGTCTCAAAACAAATGCTTCTTTTTCTACATGCTATAAATCACAACTTGCTTTTTGCCATTTCTTTTAAAGGTTCCTAATTACTATAAAGTTATTTCAAAGCCAATGGATCTTTCAAATGTTCGTGCCAAGCTTCAAACTCAAAACTTTGCTCATTACCAAAGCTTCAGTGAGTTTGTTGCAGATTGCCGATTAATCTTTGACAATTGTGCAATATTTAATGAGGTAAGTGTCTATTGAGTATTGAGGAGTAACTTATGGCAAAGTCATTCTCTCATCTTTAAGGGGTCCAAAAATTATTTGCTCTCAGGGTGAGTCAATTGAATAAATATGTACCATCAATCCTGTAGGGAAATGACTTAGCTACTTAATTTTAATGGAGTGGTATTCCACCCAGAGAGGTAAGGACAGTTAAATGCCACTGGTCAGTTCATGCTATGAAAACAGGGACAAGCTTGGCAAGTGTTTTAACACTTCACTACCTCAGCATATATGTACAGCATACGTGTACATTGAATTGTGAATGCTAACAGAAAGCAAATGGGTTGATGAAAGCTAAGCATATGAAATCCAATACAGTTGAATTGATACAAAACCTACTTTGTAAGGTAAACTACTTCTAGATTGCAGTTTTCTAGGAGGGGTTTATTATTTGCAAATCCTACAGAACTGTTAGTGACTTCCTGACTTTATTATGTTTTTTCAGGCAACATCTGAAGTTGGAAAAATGGGTCACAACCTAGAATTGTATTTTGATACTTTACTAAAAAAGTACATCCCTGAGTTTGTTGAGGCAACTGGAGAACCCAAACCAAAGAGGAAGAAAGATGAAGCTCGCATGTATATCTTGAATCCATAAGTTAATTATTTTGTTAATGAATATGAGATGTAATATACTGGTGGTTGTTAGAATTGAACATCCAATTTCCCCTCATATCAACACCAGAAAAGTTCCAATGTTTTTGGCTGTTTTTTTAAATAATTATTATTACTATTGATTCTTTGGCCAGCTTTGGTCATTTTTATCTCTTAAACTCTCAGTTTAGGTTACTCTCTATCATTTCCTCAAAATATTATTATACTATCCAGTAAAATGGAATTTGTCAAATTTATTAGCTGGATGGTGTTGTGATGTCCTAACACCAAATTAATTTAACTAATCCACAGGGAAATGGAAGGGGGTAGAAAGGAGAATTAATGATCAGATCTTGGGAACTGAAGGTTAATTCATGAAAAGCAACATTTACTTGTCATGCAGTCCTTCTGCCAGCATTTTGTTAAGTGTGATAGCTTTCCAAGATAAAAGGACAAAGCTTGTTTATGTACATGACATAAATATTGAACAGATGCACTGTGTGTTATTGGAGAAAATCTAAGCATTTGAAATGTTACTACGTTTCACTGTTAGTAAAGAGTATTTGCAAGTCAAATTGTCGTTTATCTGAATTCAAGGTAATAAATTGTTTTTGTCGAAACAAAACAGCTCAGTTTTTTAATGTTTATTGTAACCTCATGGCATACTCAAACATGCACAAAAGAATAGTTCAGAGGTAAAAAATGAAGAGTTGCAAATAGGGGAATACTAGTTGTTATCAGTATTCTTTTTTCAGGTTTTCAAATTAAGGGTGATAGCTTGAAATAGAAGGAATAAAGAGGAAAACTAATGCAAGATCATGTAAAAATACATGTAATAATTAGATAATTCACTTTTCTGTATTTTTGCTGGTTACAAATCAGATCAAACCAAAAGCTCTGACGAATGAACTTGAGCTTGGTTGTGGTATGATTGGTTTGTCTTCAGTTTGTTTGTTTCAGGTGGCTCAAAACAAGTCCACTCTCTTTTAACAATGCACTGATTGATAAATTATGACAAATATAATTTTTATTAGGTGTTTCAAAAGTGCATCACAAATTTACAATCATTGGCAGACAAGTCAAGGTAGTTTCCCATATGTGGGATGCCACATAAGTAGAAAAATCATTTATGACTTTAGTTTTGAATCTGAACTTAAAAAAAAATATCACTGAATGACAATTACACATTAATATTCATTAGGATAGGGAAAAGAACACTTGTGGGGTTGGTGCAGAGCCACCTACAGACTCTATTTTTCCATTAATGTTAGTAATCAGAGATGTGTCTGCATCTACCCCATGCAGTTGTATGCTGGGTGCAGGTTCATTTTACAATAAATCTACATCTACAAGGTCCACTAAATACATTTGTCATTATAGGACTGTGCAAATTGTGAACACTTTGAATTGAATTTTACTTGTCAGTGGTACTCTGAACAATCACAGTAGAAGTCAGGGAAATGTGATCAAATCTGAAAACCAGAAACTAACTACTGTTACTACTTATGGTTTAGTCTTCACAAGTCTGATTGTCTTTTTCCAGTAACACTTCATAAATAACACTGATGTTCACAGTCTTTCAAATTTCATAGCAATTCTATGGAGACTATATATATATATATA